TGTGTGTGTGTGTGTGTGTTTGTGTGTGCGCAGGGCCTCTGTACCGATTTTTCATCTCGAGACCGGCAAAAGCCAAAGGGTTGAAACTTTTGGGACACTATCTATATGCACGTACGGGCTCCTACCCCCAAAATGTGCGGTCTTACTCGCGCCGCCAAAATTTTTTCGGTAAATTCATAACTAGCGAACCAGAAAAGCTAGAAAGCTGAAATTTTAAGGGGATGTTTCCCGTCCAAGTAGGTATTAATGAGCTCAAACCCAGCCCCCGGGTAAGCGTGGCACCCGCGTACGGGCCTGCCAAAGTTTTTTTCGGGTAAGTTGATAACTCAGGGAACTGAAAGCTAGAAGACTGTAGTATTAAGAGGATGTTCCCCGTCCGAGTATGTCTCAATGAGCTCAGTCCCAGAAATCGGGTATGCGTGATACCCACGTGCGGGCCCGAAAAATTTTTCTTCCAGTAGGTTGCTAACTCAGGACCCAGGAAGGCTAGAAATCTGAAATTATAAGGGTGTGTTTCGTGCCAGTTCTGGCGGCTAGTCTTAATTTCTTTAGCTGGAAGCATTTGCAGAAAAAATCGATGCCGGTAGCGACAAAAAGTGCGGGAAACTATGCAAAAACGCATCTTCGCACGGGCAGCCCGTGCGTTGGCCAATTATTTATGTTCTTTACAATCAAGAAACCTGGAATGGTCATTTATTACAAAATTTAGAATGCAGCAGCAAGCAAACTTCTAACAAACACTGTTCAAACACAAGACTGTCCACCTAGTAACAATAGTTACACCACTTATATTCAGATCCGCATCCGATTGCATTTCAACTGAATAACCTTTTGCCAACTTTGTAAATTTTATTTATGCCTGCTGCAGCCATTCCAATTCCCTCTCGAACTTGGAAACCGCCTTTAATTTTCTGGTAACCTTCGTCAATCATTTGGAAGCCATCGTAGACCTTCTTCAGTTTCTGATACTGCTGATACTTGTCGACAGCATCCTTCGCCAAATTGATTGTATTCAACAATGCTGAAATTGAATGCAACATTTTGAAAAAAGTGTTTTTTTAGGTTTTACCTCTCCAAAAGGCTAATTTTTATGCGTTTTTGCATGTATGCATTTGCAAAAGTGTGCATTTGTGTATCTATCCGGGTATTTCAACTCGGCTGCCGGGCAGGGCTCCGGCGCTAAAATTTACCAGTGAATTCCCTGGCCAAGTGCTAACCAGGACCGCAGCACAAATCTTTACGCATGCCTGGGCCTCGCGCACAAGTACGTGAATGTTTTGACGCGAAAACTGTTAGCTCGGTAACCAGAAAAGTTCAGAGCCTGAAATTTCATGGCGATTTTCCCAGCCCATGTACAACTTAAAGATATCAAATTCAGCTCTCAAGAGTGCGTGGTTCTCAGTACTGTGGTGAAATTTCTTTTTTTGGAAGCTCATCTTTCCTATGTTATAATAGAAAAGGATAGAAAACCAGTAACTTCTCAACACAAAATACAGGAGGATCAAGCCTCTCAATCTCGCCGAATTTCTTTTTAATAATCTTTATCGAAGCAATTGAAATACAACAAACTTTTACTTCCCTTTATTCCGCTCCCAACAAATAGCTCAAAATAAGGCTTCGGTGCAAGCCCAAATTTCCGAATCGACGACGAGTGACTATATCCGCGAGATGAAGCTTTCTTCAACCACAGTTTTCTCCACACAAATTCCCATCAAACAGTTCGAAATCCACAACAACTGATTGAACCAACAGCTCGAAACTCCACAACAACGATTGACCCCACGAACTCCACAGCTCGTTCTCCTCCACAACAACAACTGACCCAACTGACTGATCCAAAAGGGAGGAGTGAGGTTTTTTATACTGACAATCTTTATCGAAGCAAATGAAATAAAACCACAAATTTCACCACACAAATTCCCATCAACAGCTTGAAAATTCACCACAGCCTTCGAAACTCCACGACAATTGACTAACAGCTCGAAAATTCTCCACAACAACAACTTGAAACTTTACCACAACTCCACTGCTCGATATCCTCGATGGATCCATCATAATAACAACTGAGTGACCAAAAAAGGAACAACTGACTGATCAAAAAATGGAAATTTTGACAGGACGTTTCCTGACCGCAGCTGCATAATTAAACTCCTGAAATTCAAGGACCAACGTGACACAAATTTTAGATATTGTGATTCCAATCGATTTTGCTACGAAACGAAGTACTTCAGAAACGGTATTTCATTTTGTAGTAAGATGACTTGGAACCACATTTTAAGTTAATAACGATCAAAATTTCTATGTGTTAATACTATACTTCATGGCTCCTGTGCTACTATTTATGTTGCTTGCGCTGCTGACGGACGTGGAATTCAATTAATGCGTAATTTGAAAAGCAAACTTCCGGTCGTGTTGGAGAAAGAAATGGAGCGAGAGTTGCTTGGCGCGTCTTTTGTGACAGTATAAACAATCAGACTCACAGTCAGAAAAGCGGCGTGCAAGACGTAATTCTAACTGGGCGAGAAAGCAAAATTCGGTGGACAGAGAATGTAATGAAGGTCTTGCTCACAGTCAGTTGGCACTTCGATCTACTGGTTAACATCAGCAAACAGTCGACTACTGCGAAAGCTCCGCAAGTGCGCACTCAGATAAAAGAAGCGGTAGATATAAACTTGAGGCATGAAGCTCGTCTAAGGGGATGACGCGGATGGGAGCACCTCAGTGACGTCGCCAAAGATGTATATCCTTAGCTGCCTGCTATGTTTTGGTGTACTTGTGCTCTTATGGTCAAAAATTTTATGCTTCGCTACAGTAATATAATACAAGCTTCTTTATAATACAAGCTTCTGCTCTTAAATCGGTATGGTTTTTCATCCTGTTTTAGAAATGACATATTTCTGGAAAAATGGTGAAGGACAACTTCAAACGGCTTAAGCCTTGTGAACTGCTTCTACAGCGAGAACCACTGAGCTCGTAATGTCTTAACGAGATGAAACGAATATTGATATCGTTAAGGGAAATGGAAAAATTGCAGCTGCTTAGTCAGAGAGCATATCTCAGCATGTTAGAGAAACTGTTTAGCTCAGTATGTTATTTACAATTCCAATTATATTTTGCAAGAATTGATAACTGGTTAACAAAAGAAAGCTTCTCACAGCCCACTACCGAAATTGCTTACTTCCATACTGAAATTATCCAAGATATCTACGTTGTTGCTGTGTTTTATCATCATTTATATAATCCCTGGACTAGAATGCACCAGGCTTCCCAGTATGATCATGCACTTTGCGTTAAACTTGAAACATTTAGGTCATTAACTATAAATGGTTGTTGCTATATTTATGTGTTTTGCGTATATGCAAATTGCAAAAACTCATATAGGGAAAAGGCTGTGTGTGTATGTGTGTGTGTTTGTGTGTGTGTCTGTCTATTGTTCGTATTTTTTTTCACCCAATTTCAACTCTAGAACCAGAAAAGCTCGAAGGCTGAAACCTTGTGAGTATGAGTCCATACAATATGCGACCCTCCTGTTTTAATTTCATCCCCCTTGGACGCCTGGGTGTCGCGTACGGACGCTTTAAAAAAATATGCAAATTTTTTAGCGGGAAAGCGATCTCGGGAACCACATGAGCTCAGGGGCTAAAACTTTGTAGGGATATTTCCCGACATGTACTAGCTAAAGATTCCAAATTCAGTCCCCAGATATGCGTGGTACTTACGTAAGGACGTGTAAAATTCTTAGGAGGAAAACTGCTAACTCGGGTACAAGGAAAGCTAGAAAGCTGAAATTTTAGGGGAATGTTCTCTATCCAAGTGCAACTCAAATATTTCAAATTCAGCTCCAAGCTGTGCATGATACTCATGTAAGGGTATAGGAAAGTTTCTGCAGGAAAATTACTAACCCGGCGACCAGAAGAGCTGGAAGGCTGAAATTTTAATTGGAGTTTCCCTGTCCACGTGCAATTTAAAAATTTCCAGTCCAACTTTCCACGCACATGGAGTGCCCAAGTACAGGCATGTGAAGGTTTTGGCAGAAAGATCGCTAACTCGGTAACCGAAAAAGCTGGAAAGCAGAAATTTTGAGAGAATGTTTCCTGCCCAAGTGCAGCTTAAGTATTTCAAATTTAGCCTTGAGGTATGCGTAGTTCTTATGTAAGGGCAATTAAAAGTCTTGACGAAAAATTTCTCACTGAACAGCTAGGTTACTTTTAAAGAACGGCTGTTAGATGGAAACTGCACATTTACTTTGTAAAATTTATGGTGATTTATGCTAGTGACCGCAAAAGGTAGTTATAAAGCAACAGCCATTCATACAGTTAATGACCTGAGTAATTCAAGTCCTGTGCAATAACGCAAGATCGCACGCGCCCGCCCGGTGCGTTCCAGCCTGGGTTAGTTTATGTACTCATTCGCGTAAATCACTGTAGATTTTGCATAAAAGAAAATGAAAAACTTCAGTTTAACAATCGCTTATTGAAAACAATCAACTTTTACATGCCCATGTATGAGAATCATACATTCCTGGAGGCTGAATTTTAAACCTTCAAGTTGTACTTGTACAACGAATTAAAATTTCAACACTCCAGTTTTCCCAGTTTTCATGTTAGCAGTTTTTCTACGAAAACTTTCTTAAGTCCGTTCACGACACTCAGATGTTCCTGGAGGTTGGCACCGCGGTCTTGGGATGGCCGCAAAGACACTGGCGAGGTTTCAGCGCCAAGGCTTACTTAGTTGCCAAATTGAAATACTCGGACAGACGCATATATGCACACACACATGCAAAATACCTGCACAACGCAGCATGGGGACATTACAAAATGCGTTTTTGCATTTGTATACATACAAAAAAAAAACATAAAAACGTTCAGTTTGTAACTAATTAATTGTTTGTAAGTTTTTTACGGAACCTTTTATCGCAATTTTTGCTGCATCTTGAGATATCATCCTCATTTCCACACAGCCTAATTTTCACATGGGGTCAATTGAAAGGAAACTGTCGAATAATAACAAATAATCTTTTCCTTAGCCAAGTAAACTTATTGTAATAAGTTTCGCCTTTGTTCTCCAATGAAACTTTTTCTTATGGTGAGGAGTTCCCTAAAAAGTGCAACTTTCCTCAGGATTTTTAGCAATGCTTAGCTGATGTGAAAAAAAAAGCATTTTTCGGGTATCGTTTGATGGCACAAAACAAAATTAATCTTTACAGCACAAAATAATTACCGCTTTTAACCCTAATAACATCGCCGTTGCCATCTTCGCTGGATCGATAGACAGAGTTTGGTCTAGCAGCAGATTCCTGAATTCTTGCTAGCAAAAAGCAGAGCACTACTAAGGTTTTCCTGTGAATCGCATGCTATGATCAAATGAAAACTGCTGCAGCGATAATTTGTAAAGAAGCCAAATGATGCAGCTTCATGTTTAACAATTTCATACACAAGCTCGACTTTCTGGAGGCACATAGCTAAAGTTCTCCTCTTTTCTCCATTACCAAAGGCAATGCTCTTAAGTAAGGGAGTTAAGAAGTGGTCCAAGTGGATGAAATCAGAACGAGAAAGAGAAAACGGTCTATGTGGAACCTCAGGAGACAGTCATGTTGGCAGCCTCAGAAGAAACAGAATGTGGATAGGCCATGCATGTGAGTCCGAATGGGAGCAACATGCACTGAACTAGAGACAGTATTTCAAGTTTTTTCTTGGTCTAATTACATCAGCCGTATTCCTCTATTCCGGTAACACTACTCTCGTCAGATACCAGTGGCAGTTCAGGAGAGATGCAGAACGCAATAATTTTGCTGTTACAGTGGTACGCCCTGGGCTGCACTTGAAGAGATCAGCACGTACTTTAAACTCTAACATATAAACAATATTCTAGACTTTGTGCAGCTGTATGATTTGATTTGGGGCAATTGGAAGAGTGTCGCGATTGCAATTTTGGGCAGCCAAACAACTTGAAAAGAAACAAACAAAAAGTGTTAGTTGTTGCACTTTCAAAATTGGTTTCGCTTTGCAAAAAAATATGAATATTTCAAAAAAAAAAGAAAAAAACATTGTTGATAGCGTTAAAAATTAAGAATCCTATAAAAATACAAATTAATCAAACCTGCGTAAAAAATGAAAATTCATTTTTATGCGTTTTTGCACCTTATGCGAATAGTTAAAATGGATCGAAGGAACCAAATGGGTGCTGCGCTGAGCCTTCGATCCATTTTAACTATTTGCATATTCAGTAACCCAAGCTGGAACGAATCAGGCGAGCCGATGATGATGCGTTTTTGCACAAAACTTTAAGTAACGAAGTTAACTCCATGAATGGTTGTTTCTTCACAACTACCTTGTACGCTCAACACCGCAAATCATCGTAATGTTGCATAAAAGGAAATAATTTTCTTCTAGCGGTAGCAGCAGCGTCAGCAAAAACGCATATTGTCGAGAGGCTGTGTGTGTGTTTGTGTGCGGAAGCGAGTGCATTTTGTCACCCACTTTCATCTCAACAACCAGCAAAGTTGGGAAGTTGAAATTTCGGGTATGTGTTCTTATCCCGTGTGTCATTTTCCGTTTTAAGATCTTCTCTCACACGCGCCTAGACTCCGCATACGGACCCCCCAAAAATATTTGCAAATTTCTTTGGCGGAATCGATTTCGCGAACCAGGCGAGGTACAAAGCTGAAACTGTGCAGGGATATTCCGTGTGTATGGGCGAGCTAAAGATTTCAAATTCAGCTTTGACTCGCGTATATCACGTTTACTACACATCAAAATTAAAATTTCGTCGCTGGCAAATGCCAACTCGAGAGCTACGCTGGACAGAATGCTCTCGTTCTACAGAATGCTTGTTGCTCACACGCGTGCATGTAGGCGTAAAACATGCTTTGGCCTGCTCTATATAGCGCATTTGGACACGAGAAAGATATAATTTTAGCTGTATGAGGTCAGGTTAGTTTGCATTCTATCTTTCATTCATTAACTGTAAACACAGACAAAATATTGGGCACAAGTGCGTCGAAGCGCACCGGGCAGACCCGTGCTATTGTGCGTTTTTGCAGTGTTTCGTGCTGT